ACCAAAGAATGTTATTTCTTGAGATGAAATCCTCTGCTGGTGAAGACTGTTGAAATGACAATAAACTATTTAAAATATTACATAAAATTAGTTGAAAAGCAATGGCAGGGCTTGAGGGGATTGGCTCCAATTTTGAAAGAGGTTCTACTGTGAGTAAAATGCTATCAAACTGCTTCTCATGCTACAGAGAAATCATTCATGAAAGAGAGTCAGCTGATGCAGCAAACTTCATTGCCTTAAGAGTTGCCACATACACCCCATTGTTCAACCACCATACACTGGTAAGTCAGGAGCTATCAATATCAAGACAAGATCTTCTACCAGCAAAAATTATGACTTTCTAAAGGCTCAGATAATGGTTAGCATTTTTTAGCAATAAAGTATGTTTTAATTAGAGTCTTCCTGGTAGCTCAGTGGTAAAGAATCCATCTGCCAATGCGGGAGACATGGGTTCAATCCCTGGGTCTGGAAGATTCCCTGGAGAAGGAAATGGCAGTCTACTCCATTATTCTTGCCTGGGAAATCCCATGGACAGAGGAGCCTGGCAGTCCATGGGGCTGCAAAAGAGTTGGACATGACTTAGCGACTACACAATAAGTTTTTAATTAAGGAATGTACATCAGTGTCTTAGCATCCTATTGCCCACTTAATAGACATTAAGTATAGTGTAAACATTACTTTTACATACACTGGAAAACCAAAAAATTTGTGACTCATTTTATTGCAATATTTACTTAATTTGCTTTATTTGCTTTGGGTTAAAACCAAACCCACACTATCTCCAAGGTATGCCTGTAATCTAATAGACTGCACTGTACTTGACCATATATGAAAGGCCAATATAAGACACAACCAGTTATATTGACAATTCAGTACTTATTAGGTAAAGAAAACTAAAAACTAGATCTCTTTTGTCACATTAAAGTTATTTGCTTGCAGCTAGACTTTAAAAAATAATTTGAAACACTTTTTACTTAATGGAAATGTATTTTCTATTATAAACTAATTCATGTGTTCTTTGAAAAATTCAGACAATATGATATAAAAGTCATCTTGTAATATTAATCTTGTTTCTAGTTTTCTAGGTAAATCTTACTTTGCCCTTGTAAAGTATGTGTTTTTAGAGCATCTTCTAAGTTCCTAAGTAATCATAAAATCTCAAAATTATAAATGGAAAAATGAATAAATTGTGATCTTTAGACAAAGTAATGCTCATGGAGACAGAAAAAAATAAATTCCACTACCATTGAACAGAAAGTATGTATTGTTTATTCTTGCTTCTCTAATCCATCTGTTTATTATTTCTAAACTCAATTACTTTCATCTATGACTATTTGAAGTTACTAGAAGTAATTTTTTGCCATAATCACCCATTTCATTTTTATTTTTAAATTTAATTTACCCATAAGAAAATAGCTATTACAACAAAACAGAAAGCTCATGCTGCAATTCGCATAAATTGCTGGACTTATAATACTTTGAAGAGATCAGATTTTAGATCTCTGTCATTGATTCTCACTTTAAGCGCATATTAGAATTATCTAACAGAGAAGGCAATGGCATCCCACTCTAGTACTCTTGCCTGGAAAATTCCATGGATGGAGGAGCCTGGTGGGCTGCAGTCCATGGGGTCGTGAGAGTCGGACACAACTGCGCAACTTCACTTTCACTTTTTACTTTCATGCATTGGAGAAGGAAATGGCAACTCACTCCAGTGTTCTTGCCTGGAGAATCCCAGGGACAGAGGAGCCTGGTGGGCTGCCATCTATGGGGTTGCACAGAGTCGGACACGACTGATGCGACTTAGCAGCAGCAGCGGAATTATCTAAAGAGCTTGTCAAAACACAGATTGCTAAGCCCCCATGTCTAGTCTTTCTGAATTCATAGATCTGTGACTGAAATAAGAGAATTTGTATTTTGAACAAGTTCCCAGGCAATAGTGTTGGGGCTGGCAAAGACCATATTTTGAGAACTAGTGATCTATATAAGGCATTAAACATCATTTCAGAGCTCATCTTTCTAAGATTTATTGTCACTTGCTCTTGATTTTAATGGACAATTCAGTACTGTATATATAGTAGCTTTCAGTAAATGCTGTTAACTGATCAATTCTAAACTTAAATATAAAATAAATTGAGTTATAAATCTATCCGTTATTAAATGGCCCATTCCCCCGCCATACTTTGCCAGTTGAGAAAATCTTGGCTAAGTTTTCAGAGAGCATAGATACATCAAATACTCTTTGGATACAGAGTCTTTCTACCTATTAAGTTTCTTTTCAATGCACTTTTATTTTATTTGCTGCCAGTAACAGTCACAGTCATCCTAGTACAGGGAATATAAAGGTAAAATAAAATACGCTCAAGTAAACACCAGTAAAATTGTTGATTAGATTGTTGATTCCAAAACTTTTTTTTAGAACAATATTTTGGTAATAGCAGAGAATGATTTTTGGAACAAAATAAATCACAGCTTGATTTTTTTTAGTTTTAGGATAACATTAAGCTTGTGTTGCTAAAATCTGCAATGTGTCTATTAGTTTGTTTTGATATCTTTTACCCTGCATGATTAATTTAAGCAAGACACTTCTTTTGTTTCCAGCCCTACAGTGAGATGTTTAAGTCCTTTCCCATAGTTGCACAAGCTCTACGAAAGTTTGAATTTTTGTTGAAATATCAGTGAAACTGGGAGAAAATATTTAATGATTTTTCCTTTTCCTTTGTCAATGTGTTATGGCATTCACATGACTCCCTCTGGTGGCAAATGCAATACGGAATGTCAATCTTTTTCAAGAAATGTACATTTATACATTTCTCTTCCTATAAAGTCAATAATTCCTCCCCTCTGCCTGAAGTTTTCTTCTCTATCTTAATGTTACCCACAATCTAATGTGACCATTGGAAGCCATCAAAAAGTATTAGTTCGATTAATACAAAGACTGCATCTCTTTGTCGAACAATCATCCTGGAAAATAGTGTCGAATTATTTTTGTAGCTTTTTTATAATCACACCAGAATAGTAAAATACTAAAGTAATTGATTAGGAAATAACTCCCCAAACTCAACCTCAATTCTTCAAAACATAGTCCATTAACAGTCATATATAAGCTTAGTCTAAGAAACTTAAGTATTTGCATCAGGAAATACCCTCAGAGCTCCATACAAATACGATGTAGAGTCATGCAGAGATGAATCTGAATTCTACCTCTGACACCTGATGGAAGAGTAACCTACATCAGGTTATGCAACTGCTAAAAGACATGATTTTCATACCCATAAAATGGAATAATGCCTACTTTATGAAATTTATAAGAATTAAGACAATGCATTTAGAGACCTGTCCCTGTGTCTAACGTTTAATAAGACACTAGCTATTATTATAGTTATTCCTTTTAGCCAACAAAGCAAACGCCTCTCAAATGTATTATCTACAGGGATTATTATCAACTGCCCCCTTGCCTGCACCCTGTCTCACACAGGATCATTTCAATTATACCATTTTATGATGCCTGTATTTGTGTACTCTCATTGTCCTCTTGTTCATCAGTCAGGGCCCCAGTAGAAAAAAAAGATGTCACAGAAAGCTACATAATTTGAGAAGAGCTTAATAATGAGAATATTTACAAAAAATGGTTGGGTCTAAAGGAAACCATAAGGGTGATGCAGTACCTTGGAAGTTACCTCCCCTAGGCTATAAGAGGCAAGAGTAGTGAGCTGTTACCCGACCTGAAGAGGAGAGCTACATGGATAGGGTTGCCAGACACTCGCTATAGGCTTTGCTAGATGCCAGCCTGTAGTGACCACACTGGGAGGGATCTGTGGGAACTGGCATCTCGCCCTCACTCTTCTTTCCTCTGATCACTTACCGGTATCTCTCATTGGCCACATTTACCTGGAAGCCAGAGGGCAAAGCTGATTAGCTTGTAAGGGGCAGCTTCCCAAAGCCCAGTGTAGCAGCAAGAAAGGCAGAGGGGGAAATGGAGACGCAACAAAAGAATTCAAGCACATCCTGCAAACCCAGTTTTAATTTTGCTACAGTGGCCATTATCTGCCTGGATTATTTCAGTGTCCTGCTAACTGGTCTCTGCCTCCAGTCTTGCCTCCTTCTTGTCGTTTATTCACACAAGACAGAGTGATCTTTCTAAAAGTATAAATCTGCTTATGTCACTTCCCTAATAAAGTTATCCAATGGCTCTCCCATTGTTCCTGGGACAAATTCCAAACCACTTAACGTGTCTTTTACTAGGGCTTTGACTATGCAGCCTTGAAGATTTCTCCAGTCTCATTACTCACTGTTTTCCTGGTCACTTCCCACATAAACTGAAGGGAATTTAAGTCCTCTAATAAGTCAAGCTCACTTTCTGATCTATCTGCACGATGGTCCTTTTGCCTGAGTGCTTTTTGCCACCATCCCTGCAGGTTTAGCTCAAGACTACCTCCCAACTGTCTCTTCCTCTAGGGAGTTTCCTCCATCCTCCCAGAATTAGGTCATATGTCTTCCTGGAACAGCTCCATCTGCTCCAGACATGGCACTAATACATTATTTTAATTGCCTCTTTACTTATCTATTCCCCCCTAGAGAATCTCGGCTACTTAAGCACAAAAGATTATATTGTTCATCATTGTCACCCTGCCTCCAACCCAGGCTTGGCATCATGCGGGCACCTAGGGAACATTTACTGAATGATTAAATAAACTAAGAGGGAAAAAGTCCAATCTCTTAATCAAAACTTTCAGACTCTCTGAAACCTACCTGACATTACCTAGCCACCCTCACCTTATATTGATCCTATCTCCAATATCTATTTCCCCCATTCCCACTCCCATCATGAACCCATCTGTCTAACAATTTTTCTTTAGGGAGGAAATTAAAGGTCCTTTTTCCTTTCTTACTTCATCTCCTAAAAAATGAGTTAGAATGTAGGCCTCCCATTCTATCTCCAAGGAGAAGGAATGTGTTCCTTGATTACAACACAGTACAAGAAGATAGAGTATTAAAAAGACTGAAAGATTACTCAAGTATAAAGATGGTTCCTTGGGGCTTTTTTTTTTTTCTTCCAGGAGACTGAAAGGTCAGGCAGGTCTCCAACCTGCCCCTCTGTTTTCGAGCAATGAGGATGATAAGCCTGCAAGTTCTTCCCTTCCCCCTCATCACACATAGGCACTGGGGCAAATCCTCCGTCTCTTACACACTCTTTACACTCTTCTGTGTCTTGCTATCATATTGGCTCACAAACCACATTGGAGTTGTAGGTAATCTTAGAGTCCAACCTCCCAGGGTCTACCATTGAGGTTTAATGCTAAGTCCTCAGATTATAATTGAGGGTTAGCTTACCTGTCTCCATTGTGTGAATTGCTTGCTTGGGATCTCAAGCACCAGGTACTTCATTTTAGGTAAGACTCAGATATTTCTGTGAACTAGAAAAATACCATCTTCTCAGTTTTTAAAGCTGTTGCTGTTTCAATTTTTTTCTTTTTTAAATACCATAGGTACATGGTAAAAAATTCAAAACTGTATAGTGAGGTAAGTGTCTTTCCTTCCCAGGTTCTGTCTCCTGAGAATTAGAAGTGTCTGCTGGTTATAGTTTACTACTATAATATCAATCTCAGAACTGATTGAGTATCCTGGTGGAAGACGACAGGTGAGAAAACAAGGCAGGTGGCCTCAGACAAATTATCATAAGCCCAGGTTTGATTTGGGGGGAGCTTTAATCTTTTTAACCCTGGAAATGTTACGAGGCTGACAGTACAGAGATAACCAGGATGCAAGGAGAGCTTGGTCAATGCCAAGGCAAAAGGCAGATCCAATTATTAGAATATGGGTATGAGGCCAAAGTTAGATTAGTCACACAGATGAACTGACCCTGAATCCCACCACTACCAACCAACTACTCCTCACATCTCCCTAGGTCAGGAATATGAAGTAAGTTTCAGAGGCTAGAAAATCATGGCGGAAGGATGGTAAGTACAGCAGTGTGGAAACAGTCATTTTTACACTGATATATGATTCCCAAAGTATTTCCTTTTGATTTGTGTGTTTGTCTTGTCTATCAGTTAAACCATGAACACCTTCAGGCTAAGTACCAAGGTTTTCCCTATATTTGTTCTCTGTAATAAACAACATTTTACCTAATTTTTATGTACCCACTACTTGAATTAAAATTTTATCTATCAAAAAGTTTACTGTCTGAAGTAGAATGTGCTAGTCACTCAGTCATGTCCGACTCTTTGCAATTCCATGGACTTCTCCAGGCAAGAACACTGGAGTGGGGTGCCATTCCCTTTTCCAGGGGATCTTCCTGACCCAGGGATCAAAGCTGGTCTCCTGCATTATGGGCAGATTCCTTACCATCTGAGCCACCAGGGAAGCCCTTATAGGAAAGTAGTGGACTTTTATAAAGTGATCTTTTAAAAGCTGGCTTAAAACTCAACATTCGAAAAACTAAGATCATAGCATCCAGTCCCATCACTTCATGGCAAATAGATGAGGGAAAAAATGAAAACAGTAACAGGCTTTATTTTCCTGGGCTCCAAAATCACTGTGGACGGTGACTTCAGCCATGAAATTAAAAAATGCTTGCTCCTTGGAAGAAAAGCTATGACAAACTTAGCATATTAAAAAGCAGAGACATCACTTTGCTAACAAAGGCCCATATAGTCAAAGCTATGGTTTTTCCAGTAGTCATGTATGGATGTGAGAGTTGGACTATAAAGAAGGCTGAACACTGAAAAAATGATGATTTTGAAATGTGGTCCTGGAGAAGACTCCTAAGAGTCCTTTGGACAGCAAGGAAATCAAACCAGTCAATTCTAAAGGAAATCAATCCCAAATAGTCACTGGAAGGACTGATGCTAAAGCTGAAGCTCCGATACTTTGGTTACTTGATATGAAGAGTGGACTCAGTGGAAAGACCCTGATGCTGAAAAAGACTGAGGGCAGGAGGAGAAGGAGACAACAAAGGATGAGATGGCTGGATGGCATCACTGACTCAATGGACATGACTTTGAGCAAACTCCAGGAGTTGGTGAAGAACAGGGAAGCCTGGTGTGCTCCAGTCCATGGGGTCTCAAGGAGTCACACATGACTGAGCAAATGAACTGAACTGATACACACTGGAGAAAGAGTTGTTACATGTCTTGATTAAATATTAAATACTGACAGTAATATATATATAGAGACACACATACATAGATATATATAAAACACTCATAGTCACCATTACAACCAAAGNTATTGGAGTTTCAGATTGACTGGTTGGATCTCCTTGCAGTCCAAGGGACTCTCAAGAGTCTTCTCCAACACCACAGTTCAAAGGCATCAGTTCTTCAACACTAAGCCTTCTTTATGGTCCAACTCTCACATCCATACATGACTACTGGAAAAACTATAGCTTTGGTCAGATGGACCTATGTTGGCAAAGTAAGGTCTCTGCTTTTTAATATGTTGTCTATGTTACTCAGAGCTTTTCTTTCAAGCAGCAAGGGTCTTTTAATTTCATGGCGCAGTCATTTTGGAGCGCAAGAAATAAAGTCTGTCACTGTTTCCATTGTTTCCCCATCTATTTGTCATAATGTGATGGAACCAGATGCCATGATTTTAGTTTTCTGAATGTTGAGTTTTAAGCCATCTTTTTCACTCTCCTCTTTCACTTTCATTGAGAGGCTCTTTAGTTCTTCTTCACTTTCTGCCTAAGGGTTGGAGGGTTAATTTAAGTGGTCTGGTGGGGAAGATCTCTCTAAGGAAATAACATGATTTGAGATGAAAAGTATTGACATATGAAAGAGACAGCCATGAGTGGTCCTGGTGAGCACTCCAGAAAGAGAAAACAAAGCGCAAAGAACCCAGATCAGGAATATCTTTGACATAAAGAAGCATAAAGAAGTTCACTGTGTCTAGAGCTTCATGAATGACAAGGATGAGACGAAATGGGAATGGCAGGCAGAGGGCAGTTCATACAGAGTATTGTAGATCATGCTGAAACATTAGGTTATCTTGCCACCTATGTGTTGAATAGATAACAGGTGAGCAAGAACAGATCAGCAGGGAGGCATATCCTGGCATTGTTATGGGAGATAACAACGACCTGGATGTTGTGTAGGTAGGGAGAAGTGGACAAACGAAGATAGATAGTAGAACTGGAGATAGCAGAGGTAACAAAGTGCTGATGGACAGAATGTATGCAGCGAAGGAAAGAGGACTGAGGGATGACTCCTACCCTTCGGTCCAAACTTATTTGGTGGATGGATGGTATTTCCACTCACTAGGGCAAATATTCAGTGCTTGTCACATCGTGAGTGCTTAATAGTTATTGAACACATCAATCAATACTGAGCTTCTAGGTGAAATTTTGTTTGAAGCAAAAACAGTTCTGATGAAAACAGAGGTTGGAAACTACTGCAATTAGAGAGATTAGAGTTGTATACACTAGCTTTAATATCATTTGGCTGAGTTGGAGGTGATGGCTCTTCTAATACAATTTCCTTTAAGGATACCTCAGACAGAGTAATAATGGGTACATGCATTCAGAGCTGGCTTCTGGTATAATGAGGGTAATAGGTAGTCCTTAACAGGTTTGAAGATTATACCCTATGAAGCAAGAGCAATTTGGTTATGAAGTTCTCAATTGTGTGAAAAATGGCTTAGTCAAATACCGTACAGGTTGATGTTGATTAACAAGGAATTATAAAAACTAAAAAATTCAAAGAGTGAACAGAAGTTTTAATTTCATCTAGGGAAGATGACTGTGTCCCCTAAATTATTTAAATCCTTTTTAATAAAGTAAGTTGAGACCTTCTAGGCATGCCAGTTTCGTAGGAGGTTGATCCCTAGAAATTGGATGGGGGGTGAGAGACTTTGCAATAATAGCAAAGTCCTTTATTGAGGGTCTTGTAAATCATACCATAGAAGCAGTTACCTTCTTTTTATTTTTTTAATTTCTCATGTATTTTATTGAGATCTTTATTTCTCCATGTGGCTTTTGTTTGTGTGTGTTTTTTCAATCCTTATTCAAATTCTTTCCCCACTTAGGTTATTGCAGAATATTGAGCAGAGTTCCCTGTACTTTAACTGTTTTCAAGGCCACCCTTGGGTCTGATTGACGAACAAAGTTATCATGTTTAGAGAGATTATCCACTTTGTAGAACTGCTGGTAGAGAAGTTAGAGCAGAACCAAAAGTAGCTACTTTATCTCCTTATCAACACTGGAACTTTAGGTTGCTCAGACCTGGTTAATCTAGAACCCTGCTGGCACTGACCAGGCAGCTAATGGGAACAGCAGCAGCCGCACGGCTGCCCAGGATAGAAACCTACTGGGGCATCTGCAGTTGAAGGTTATAGATGTCCACTGGTGTGTCCTCTCAGGAAAGTTAGAACTCAATTTCAGCAGGATTATGAGGTTTAATTGATTAGTGTTGCTAAAGTATATACTATCTAGTTGGAGAGTTTGTAGTCTTAGCTTTGTAGCTTTAGGATTGAGTTATTTTTCTCCCAAGGGAGACATGTGCAATTTTCTTAAGTGATAGCTTTAACCTAATACCCTTAGCAATTAAAATCTTGATAGTTGAAAGTTAACGGTTTCTAACAAGCTATTCCAAATATATGCATAATTTGTTTTGTTTTCTTTTTCATGGTAGTTCCACCTTAAAGTTGAATTGGATAAAACAAAAGAAATGCAAATTTCTTCTTCAGAACTTGGTTTCTGAGATACTATCAAGTGCTAGACTGTATTGCTAAAAATAATGGCATTTTCATTTTCATTGAAAAATGCTGTCATTTTCTGGCTATAAGAATTAACTGTACTGAATTTAAATTCTACCACTTTGTAGCTATGTAAACTCAAGCAAGTTACTTAATTTCTGTGTCTTAATTTCCTCATCTATAATACAGAAATAATAATAATTGTGACTATTAAATGAGATAATGCAGAAAGGAGTTAACACTTTTCTGTCAGATATTTTCTGTCAGTTTATTTTTATTATTAAATGTTTTGAGAATTGGTTTTATCTTCCTACTAAGTAATTAAATATGTGGGTATTTAATTTGAAGGACCAAACTGGAGCTCCAAAGCATGAGTGAAGACAAGTATTTTAAATGATGCTTCAATTTATTTGCTATTATAACTTTGTGTCAAATCCGTCTAGTTTATCTGGCAGAACACCCGCTAAAGTAAAGTGATTATTATCCTGACAATTCTAATTATCTAATCTGTTAAAGATCCTAATGTTGGTATTGTTTAGTGGCTAAGTCATGTCCAACTATTTTGTGACCCCATGGACTGTAGCCTGCTAGGCTCCTCTGTTCATGGGATTTCCCAGGCAAGAATACTAGAGTGGGTTGCCCTTACCTTCTCCAGGAAATCTTTCTGGATCTCCAGGGATCAAACCAGTGTTTTCTACTTTGGGAGGCAGATACTTTACTCCTGAGCCACAGGGAGCCCAGAGATCTTAATGTACATGTATATTTTCATAGAAATCTTTGAATGCTTCAGGTTGTTAACAAAGGAATGGCCTGTTTGACAAAAATCGGGTTTTGTCCATATTTACAGAGGGAAAGGGCACATGCTACTGTTCTGTTTTATTCATTGAAGTAACTTGGGTCAATTCCTAATTTTACTTTCTATGAGAGTCTTAAAGAAGAACAGTATACTTATATTCAGTTCAGTATCCCTCTCTATCCTGCCATGTGCAAGGCACTGAAAAAAAATAATTAGGTCGCTAAAAAAGTAAGAGAAGCAGCTGCCTCTACTGTATAACTTGTCTATACCAGAAGCTGGTGGTAGATCCTGAGAAAAAGGCTGTTTCAATAATTAAGAGAGCTTTCTCAGTCTCTAATACAAACTATAAAGTAGTTTAGTGAACGAGTGAATATGTTTTGAGAACACACCACTCCCCAAATATCTAAATCTACATTTAAATCTAATAATGAAATATATTTAAAACTATAAAATGTAGGTCTTACTTGTTGACCCTTAAATTTGTCTTAGGCTCTACCTTCAGCCACACCTAACCAGGACTGAGCCATACTCTGCCACAAACAATAGGAAATTCAGGACAATACGCTCCCCAGCAACAGAGTAATTTCAAAAGCTTTTATGGTAGAAAAGTAAACTTTAGTTGAGTTTGTCCTTTGGACCATTGAGCAAATTTAGAATAACAGAATCTCTTTTTCTTTTGTACAAATACTTAGGAAAAAAACACAACAAACAGCTTTAAAACTATAGAAATGTATGTATAAAACTTTATGTATTATAATGCCAATATTGTAAAGCAATTATCCTTCAATTAAAAATAAAGAAAATTTTTAAAAAACTTTATGGATTATAATGAAAATAGAATTTTGAATAGGATAAATATTAACAGTCATGGTCAATGACTTTTTAAATCAATCATGTCTCTCTTTTCACAAAACATCTTGTTCATTATGCTAAATTAGTATATATAAACAAGCAGAATTTTATCTGTTATTGGTAGAAGACATGAAACCCTGGATGAGAGATAAAGGACAAGTTATTACTCAAAGCAATGGCAATAACTAGACTGTTAGCATTTGCACTGATACCCAGACCCACCATTCCCATAGCATTTAATAAAACCAGAGGTACCCTGACCTTAGGGAACACAAATCTTGTGTTTGTGAGAGTTGCTGCCCACTGCTCCAGAGAGAGATACTATCTCTTATCTTCCTACTATAAACAATCCTACCCTTTCCTTTGGAGGAGACAATATTTCCATCTTCCAAGTCTTTCCTTTTAACAAACATCCTTGAAAACATAGTTGAGAACAAAAAGTAGTCGCTGCCTTGCTTTGTAAGAGGTGCAGAAATGCCAGATCATGAATAATTGTCTCTCAAATCTAAGAGTGATTTCTGGGGAACGAGGCTGAAAGGAGAGAGAGTCCTCTCCTGGTGACTTTTCTGGCGCTGAGGTCAGACAAGCCCTCTTCATACCGCGTGGTCTGACGAGAGAGTGTAGTTTGGGGCTCGCTTCCACTGCCACATGTGGCCTGACAAGAAGAAAATTCTATCTCTTATTCTTCCTCTTTGCCCTCTCTCAATCTCTCAGTTTCCCAGAACATATTTTAGTTGCAGTCTTGGCATCCTGAAGTCTGACTTGGAAATCAGTTACCTTAGAAATAATTTACAGTGTCAGTCAGATTCCCTGACTATTCCTCTCACTGCCTCCAATCTCAACCTCCCCAAAGGCTCTATTAACCCATAATGTATCTGATTTATAGAACATCCAGTTTCAACTGCACTTTAAATTAAATAAGCATGGCTGGCTAGCTGGAGACCGTAGCCACCACTTATGCCGTCTCTAGTATGGAAAAATGTGTCTTTATTAATGAATGCACTTAAATGATTTTATCAGCCATGCCTCTTATTATATTGTATCTTTGTATTTAAAATCAAGTTTTTAGCATGTTATTAGAGTAAATTTACTTTTGCAAATGTCTATGAAAGATGGCACTATTTTCTGCGGCAGCAAAAAAGTTATCCCAAGCCAAAAGCCTGGAGAAAAAGTAGACTTACTAACAGGAGATTAAAGTTAAGAGTAAGAGCCAACATGCTGTCAAATTATTGTTTTCTCTCCCTAGAGAAGTGTGATGGCCAAAAAGCAGGCATAAAAGAAATAAATATTTTAATGATAATTCACAAAATCCTCGAAAAAGTGAATAGCTTATAATATGTCAAAGAGAAAAAATAAACAAGGAATTATAGCTCCCTCACCGGACAAGGATTATACCTTTGAGAGCCTCTCTGAGTATTTCCAATTTACATTCAAATTCTCATATTTTGAAGGGCTCTTGCTATGCAATGGAACATTACCACTTGTCATCAAAATATTCTCTGTGATATTTGACTTTCAAGTTTACTTTGCTTGACTTCACCCCCATTGCACAGAGCAATAGAATGTTTTCTTAACTGCATTTCCGTTTAGAACCTGTCGAACATTTTTATCATTTTGTATCAATTCTTACGTATTTTTTTAGAATTTATGTTCCTTTATTTCTGGTTGAAAAGAATCCAATTAGTTCTATTTTTCCCATATGAAGACACTAGACTGAAGCAGACTAGCAACGCCAAATGTGATCTTCCCAAGCTGTAGTGAAAGGGGCATTCACTATTTCTGTGCTCTAAAAGACTGATGACATCTTTTAAAATCAAAGTAAGGGTTTTGGGGGTAAATTTTTTACCTTTAACCATCCTTTATTTTTGCTCTTTTCATAGGATCTTACTTCAAGTTGATCTGGTGGGAAAAGTTTTTTGGTTCACTTGTAATTAAGGTATTCTATCTCTTGATTTACCTTACTATTTAATTTTCATCTTACTTTTCACATTTCTAGGGCATATTCTTTAAAGTATACAAAATATTATTTTAAGATGTCACATTACTAAACTATTCTAGGAGACAATTTTGAATAAAACAGGAAAGTTCATATTAATTACACCTCAAAATTAAAAATATAAATGAATAGTATCTGCTATATAGCTACCTTAGGAATTTTTGCTTTTATTCCCTCAATCTTGACATTGTTTAAAACAATTTGGGGGAATCCTCTTGTGGATTTGCCTTTAGAATCTACTGCTTTATTTTAAATGAAGTTAGTGGTATAAAACTTCATCCTTCACATGTGGGCTTTAATTTTTGGATAGAGATAGTTGTTATCCATAGTCTAGTATATGGGTTGATGATAGACTGGGAAAAAACCTGGGAGAAAAATATCTGACTGTAAGGAATGAGGGTAATGTTCTTGTCTGATTAAACTGGCTTTGAAGACAACTTCATGAAAAACTTTTAGAGAGCTTTTGAGTTTTGCCAAGAGCAATTGGCTGTCATATGGCCAGCTCCTGTGTAGATCCTTGGTTCAGCCAGTGGTAGCAATGTATCAACAAGTCCTAAGCTCACTTGGTTGACCATTTTACACTAAAGGAAATGGGGAGTCACTGGAGGGTTATGAGCAGGTGAGTGCTGATATAAACAGGCATGTTTCTAAAAGATCACTCTGGATGATGCACTAAGAAGACACTGAAAAGTTAAGGGTAGAAGGTGGGACAGATGTTGGAAGTCTAATTAGGAAGTTATTGCAGTAATACAGACAAAGGATGATGGTGGCTTGAACAAAGATAGAAAACGGAAGTGATGAGAGGTGGTTGAATTTTGAATACATTTTGAAGATACAGTCAATAGGATTTCCCACTATTGGTCTGGATTGGGTCTCAGCCAGGGGCCATTTTCCACCGAAGAGGCATCTGGCAATGTCTAGAGACATCTCCCTTGATGAAAGTGAAAGAGGAGAATAAAAAAGCTGGTTTAAAACTCAGCATTTAAAAAACTAAGCTCATGGCATCTGGTGTCATCGTTTCATGGCAAATAGATGGGGAAACAATGGAAACAGTGACAGACTTTATTTTCTAGGGCTCCAAAATCAGTGCATATGAAATGACTGTAGCCATGAAATTAAAAGACCCTTGCTGCTTGGAAGAAAAGCTATGACCAACCTAGACAGCATATTCAAAAGCAGAGACATAATTTGCTGACAAAGGTGTCCATCTAGTCAGAGCTATGGTTTTTCCAGTAGTCATGTATGGATGTGAGAGCTGGACCATAAAGAAGGCTGAGTGTTGAAGAACGGATGCTTTTGAAATGTGGTGTTGGAGAAGACTCTTGAGAGTCCCTTGGACTGCAAGAAGATCAAACCAGTCAATGCAAAAGGATGTTAACCCTGAATATTCATTGGAAGGACTGATGCTGAAGCTGAAGCTCAAATACTTTGGCACCTGATGCGAAGAGCTAATTCATTAGAAAAGACCCTGATGCTGGGAAAGAATGAAGGTGGGAGGAGACGAGCGTGAGACGGTTGGATGGCATCACCCACTCGATGGACATGACTTTGAGCAAGCTCCGGGAGGCAGTGAAGGACAGGGAAGCCTGGCGTGCTGCAGTCCATGGGCTCGCCAAGAGTCAGACATGACTGGGCAACTGAACAACAGCACAGACATCTCTGATTGTCATGACTAAAAGCACGCTGTAGGCGTTTGGTGAACACAAGTTAGGACTGATGCTAAACATTCTGCACTGCACAGGACAATTTACACAACAAAGAATTATCTAGTCCAAAATGCCAATTATGCTCTCACATGCCCATTGAGAATTATCTTGTGTTTCCCTACTATATGCTTTAGGAGAGCCCTCTCTAAGAATGTTGGTACTAAGCTAAAACTATTGTTCAAATGCCCATGGAAGAGGACAGACTCTAGCAAAATCTATTCTGCCAGTGGACTCAGCCTAAATGAGAAAGAAACCTTCACAATGAGCTCATTCTAGGAATAATGAGTGAGCCTGTTTTGAGGTAGCTTTTATTCACCACATCCAGATAAGAGGGTAACAATAGTCAGGACTTCTGCTTAGACGCCCAGCATCCAGCCTCTACAAGAACCATTGAGTCTGCATTTATGAGAGTTCTTTCTTAGTTTCCTGCCAGTAAAAGAGGAACAAACAAGGACAAAAGCTTACTTCATGAGCCCAAGTGGAGCCTGCCCTAACCAAATGTCTCAAGCCCATTATTTTAGTGGAGGGAACTGTTGCCCACCAGAGCAAGGTGGCCACTGGACAGCTTTGCCATTTTAAGAATTACTCTAGATGGATGTCCTCACTTTCTGAAGACATATCACCTTTATGATAGGTGTCCAGAAATTACAACTTGGAATTTGGAGCACTACTCTATGAATATAGTTATCCTCTTACTTTTAGATATCTTTGGTTTGAGAAAAGAATCATCAAATCTGTAAATCCCAGTTCTAGAAAGTAGATGTAATAGGTTGGAACCAATATTAAAGTAATGTGGGTGCTTCTATTGTCAGTAACACATTTGGAAACACAAAGCCATAAGACTCCTCTCCTGAGTGTATAACAAAATTACACAGGCCATTCTTTTTATCCATGTAGGTATTCTTCCAGCTCTCAGCCTTACAAGGTTTCACAGGCAAGCAAAACTATTATGACAGAAGAATATTTGCTAAGGAACTCCCTCACATAAAATTAGTTCATACTCAAAACTCTTTTCCTGCTTCACACTTGCTTTTATCCTATGCACTATTTTCATATCTTTGTCATTTTCTTATAAAAATTATGATACAATTATCAGTGAAATTGGAAATCTTACAAAAGGTGCAGGATTTCTTAAAGTCCATAAAAGTGAAATTAGAAAACAGATAAGTCATTGAGAAATAAAGATCTGATGACAAAGTAAATCCTTCAAAAGAGGCTTTGAAGAAGCCCTTGAATATTTTGTAAAAATAACTATCTTTATGAGCATGCTACAAAAGTCAAGTGAGAAGTGAAGAATGTCTTACTGTGCTCTTCTATAGCTTGCTTAGAAAAATTAAACCCTCAAAAAGCCTTTGATTTATTTTTTTGTGCATCCTAAGAATTAGCATAATAATATGCAAACTCTAACCTAGATGTTGTTAATTAGGAGATAAAATAAGCTTACTTTTATAGTTTTATATACTAACAGCTTTATTCTTCAATATAAAAATTTACAGGAATTTTCCTCTAAATTCCCTATTTCCCTGTCATTCCTACTGCTCACATTATAAACTCAATTAAACTTAAAGCTACAGTTGGCTTCTGTCTTCTCATTACAATGTGAAATGTATTCTCTGCCTCAAGACTAGTACAACTTCCTTTTCTGTTCAGTGGTTATCCTCTCTTAGATTAGCCATTGCCATTAGCTGTACAGAACTACAATGAACTATAGGAACACCTCAAAGTACCTCAAGAAACTTCAGAACCCATTGTAATGTCCTGTTAGGTCAGGTTAAGAGCAACGCCTGTTTGAGAAACTTGCTATGGAAACAAATGGACGATCCTCACAGAAGGCCAGAGTGCCCGCTATCCAGAAAACCTTGCCAAAGTGGCAGAAAAGCTCAAGGTTGAACACTCTAAACAGATATGTCCAAGCTCTAGATGATTCTAGCTTGGTCTATAATTGGTCAACTCTCCGATTATAGAGTCAAACAAAACTCCAGTTATGTTCCAGGGAAGATTCTTCCTTTTTGAACTTTAGAGGTTGACCTGGTTCTAGAGTGACTTTATTACAGTTCCTTGACCCTCCTAGAAATTCAGGCCCAGCTCCTGCCAAAGTCCATTTACAGATTGGGAACCTCAGGTCTAGAAGGATTAAGAAACTGTTGCAAGGTCACAGACCTAATGTATTGGTGGAGCTGAAATTTGAACCACAGCAACTTGATTCCAGAGCCTTCCCAAGTCACCATTCTGCAATACTGACTCCACTGGCAAGAGTATCAGGCAAAAATAGGAACTAGTTCACTAGCATGCCACTGAGAGAGATTTAATAAAGATGACACTCTAGTGGTGAAACTTGAATCACACTAAGAGCAACTGCCTGCTACGCCTACACAGAAGATGAACTCAGCTATGAAGAAATTAACAAGTTTAAATCCCTGGAAATTCCTTCCAAAACAAAGGCTGTTACAAATCTTACATTTAAAAAAAAAATGTGGTCTGGTGTTTAAAGCTAGACTAAAATTAAAACAGCAAAATGAACAAACCAGCAAAAGTAATGATCCTATGTACTGATCCTAACTCTTAAGTATCAAGCCTTGGGAGCATCAGGAAAACTTCATGCCTCTCTATATCCATCTTAAACATGCAGCAAAATAGGCAATGATGCTTTCCTACTTCCTCTAAATAGCACTGCGAGTATAAATTAGTGTTTTAAATGTCAATATTCTTTGAGAACATCAGAAAAAGGATGTCACATAATACATAACCCATCTTTAGCTCACTTTTAGCCACTTCTGCTATTTCTAGACTTGTTTGCATCACACTCAAATCTTTCTTGTCTGATAACCTCAAGTCATTGCTTGTATTTTGTACCATGTGTATGTACAGTTACATAAAGAAGTGTATCCATCATCACTAACTTATCATTATATTATTTTCATCATTAAACAACCAAGATGATTCCTTCAAGAAGCCAATCCATGGAAAAATTGGGTCATTTTCTTAAAGTAAAACACAACCACTTTTGTATTATATCAAAGTACATACCAATTATTTTGTTCTCTGTTATTTTGTTTTTAAGGTAACAGGACAACCATTAAGGGCTTTTTCCTTCTTTATTATTTCTCTAACATTCGTGAGACTTCACTGGGATGTGACCTTTTAGTAGGGGTAGGGGGTTGTATATTTCATTAATTTGAAGCTTTTCTTCCTAAATATTTTTATTTATATCTCACGTACCTTACTAGGTATCTCTTTTTGTTGATAATATACTAAATATCTTTCAAGATCTCCAAAATTGTTTTACTGGGTACCTTTTCTTCATATCTTTTCTTAAAAAAGAAATGCACACGTATACAGAAAAATAGAGATGTATAGATATGAATATAGCTATGTCGGAAGCATAATTATTTTAAGTTCACTTTAATGGCCAATGTTAATTGCACAGCCTCAGTTGACTGTGTAAAGCCTCAACATTTTTAAAAATTATTGAATTATTTGGCTGCACCAGGTCTTAGCTGCGGGACACAGGATCTTCACTGCAGCATGAAAACTCTTAGCTGTGGCATGTGGGATGAGTTCCTTGACCGGGGGTCGAACCTGGATCCCCTGCATTAGGGGCACAGAGTCTTAACCACCAGACCACCAGGGAAGTCCCAAACCTCAATATTTTTATTACATATAATCAAACAAGGCTTTTACAAGTAAAAATTTCTAAATTTAGAATTTCCTTTTGCTGACACAAAAGTTTCATGATAATGGTGGTTTGCAAAGGGTGGCCCCAGACCAGCAGCATCAACTTCCTCTAAGAACCTTTTAGAAATGCAAATGTTTGCTCCCCAACCACTGCCCTATCTACTAAATCAGAAAGTAAAGGGTACTATCCGGCAACGTCTGTCTGAATAAGACTTCCATGTGATTCTGATGTTTGAGAGCACAACATCACAGAGATGATTTCTAAGGTCCTTGAAATTAAGAATGGTGTCTTTTTCCCATGTGTCTAATACTATACCTTGGCACATAATAGATATTTAGTAAATATTTCCTGTGTGAATAAATTTAACGACTGATCATTTCTGTGATTTGTTTGACATTGTCTTCTTCTGACTTCTCTCTTCTTCACACTTATCACCCATAAAGTTGGGATAATTGAATAAAGAAGTGTCACGTGTGAGCCGAACATGACTCTCACCAGGCTGTCACTGTCCCCCCACATGATATTCTCACAGTGTCCAGTGTTTTAAACTCTCCATGATCTGTACTTTTTCAGAATGCTTAGAAGTATCTTGCATGACAAGCAGGAAGAAAACAAAGAAACTGCAGGATTTTGAATTGTGCAGAGCACTACATTACGCTTATATCATCACATTTTATTTCTCTGCAGAGTGCAAGAGAGAAAGTCTGCCATCAAATAAACATTTAGCAGTTTCTGCAACATTCTACCCAAAATAGATAGCCATAAAGAATAACAATGATATGTGAAACTGTAGATATAATTCTCTGCTCCAAAAGTAGTATTTGCCTGACCTGGAAAGTATATAAGGAACATAGTTAATGGGTTTTTTCCTTCAAAGAAAAAAAATACCTACATGAAGCCATCAAAAACACTGTATTTCTATTTTTCATGAAATATTTACAGATAATGACAGGTTTACTGAAATTATGTAATCAGTAATTCCTAAATCGCTACCATTATAATTACTGTTTATTTGAAAATCCTCAGAGAAAGACAGAAGATATGTCTCCAGTTTTGTAATGATCTGAGATAGTCTCCTGCTGCTCTTCTACACTCCTGGGCTAATACCAATGTAAATTGGATAATGCTAATTTGAGCATATTGATGAGGGTCAAGCATTACTGTTCCTGTAGCTAATTAAAAAAAAAATTTCCTCACTTTGGCACTATTACTATCAACAGATTTTCATCCTTGCAAACACAAACATAACACTAAAGAACAGAAATCTCCTCCATCATGCTTCTAATGTCTCATCTCTCTTATTTTAAGAGCCTCTTGATTGCCATTTCTAATAGCTTTGTCTGCTATATTGTGAGAATCCTTCTATAGTATATAAACCCTTGTACTTAGGTTCTAAAAATCTGAGTTCAATCGTTTAGCTACTGTTAACAGGAATCACTGCTCCTTTGAACTACAATCTCCACGTCTGTAAAGAAAAGGTGATAGTTTAGTCAAAGGGACCTTTAAAAGTCATTGCCAGAGCTGCTATCAAAATAAAGCCAAACTTCAAAACAATCAGAAAATAAATGTTGGCAAGGCTGCAGAAAAATTGAAGCCCCTCTTCTCTGTTGGTTGGAATGTAAAACAGTTGCAGCTACTATGTAAATACACTGTGATAGTTCCTGAAAAAAATATAAATGTAATTACAAAATAATCTGACAATTCCACTTTTAGGTATATACCCAAAAGAACTAAAAGCAGTATCTCAGATATTTGTACACCCATATTCACAAATGTCAAGAGATGGACACCCAAGTGTCCATTGACAGATGAATGGATAAACAAAATGTGATATACACATATAATGGAGTATTATTCAGACTTAAAAACAAAGAAAATTCTGATACAAATAAATAAATCTTGGGGACATTATGCTAAGTGAAATAAGCCAGGCATACACTAAAAAAAAAAATACTGTATGTTATATGAAGTATTAAAAGCAATCAAACTCATAGAAACAAAATGCACATTATTTCACACTTGCTACAAAATGAATGAAACTGGAAAACACTGTGCTAAGCAAAAGAAGCCAGTCACAAGAGTTCACATACTGGTATAAAATGTTCAGAAAAAGAAAATCTATAAAGACATAAGACATTAGAGGTTGGCCACAACTGGGGTGGGGGAGTTAGATGGTATGATCGAAGCATAATCGTTAAAGGTCATTTTTTTTTAGGTGATGAAAATTTTCTAAAATTAATAGTGGTAATCTGCACAATTCTATACTAAAAACCATTAAATTGTACACTTAAAAAAAAAAGTAGAATGGTTGTTGTCAGTTGGTAAGGGGAAGAGGAAATGGAAAGTAGTTGTTTGATGGGTATAGAGTTTCAGTTCTGAAGATGAAAAAGTTCTAGAGATTGGTGGCACAACAATGTGAACATGTTTATTACTGAACTGCACCTTTAAAGTAGTTAAGGAATTAGAATAACAATAAGATATCACTACACACCTTATTTGGAAAAGGGAATGGCAATCCATTCTGATATTCTTGCCTGGAGAATCCCATGGACAGAGGAGCCTGGCGGGCTACAGTCCATGGGGTTGCAAAGAGTCGGACACGACTGAGCAACACACACACAACCCACCCACCCACACGCCTGTTAGAATGATCAAAATCCAACACTCATCTCTTCTTTTGTTTCTCACGATCCCTTCCTTTTCCCCAGAACAAAGGTCTCATGAATGGAAAAACCAGTGTAAGGAAGGAAACTTTCTCAAGGCTCCAGAGGCAAGCAGGGTGACAGTTAAGCTATTCTCTGGAGAGTTCAACAGACAACCAGTTGGAAGAAATGTTCCCCCCCCTCCCCTTTCAGCCCTCTTGGCCATAAACAGAAAACTACGGGAGTAAGTTGGACTATTTCTCGTTCTTTCACATGTGGACTCAACTGTACAGGAGGTCCCACTTCTCCTCAGTCACCCCTATGCCTCTCCCTGCCAACACCACAGCCAAAACCACCTTCTCTGTGCCGCCCCCCTTGCCAGAGTGTCTCTTCCCTCACCAGCCCTCTCCTCACTGCTCCTAAGATTCTAAAAACAAACATTCCAGATTCTAAACGTTTTCCCCCTCCATTTCTCACCCCGCTTCTTCAGAAATCAAAGATTTTTCTTTCTAAAGCTCTCACAGTGATGACAAACTAGCTAACATGCCATACTGGTTGACACTAGGTTTTATCTCCAGAATGACTCCCATTTTAGTTACTCCCAGTATTCAATGTCCAAACATAAAGTAAAAAATTGTAAACTGAAGGTGAGAATTCCAGGCACTATGTTACATCTGCCAAATTAAAGGACCAAGCAGTCTCTCTACTGCCTTTCAAATCACATCAAGTAATTAGCAGCCTGCTTTGCTACGCATGAGCTGATTTTAGTCTCTCAGTTTTGCTCATGCAGTTGTTTGTTCATCATTAGGAAAACCAACTGTGGTTCCTGAGAAAAATAAGATGGTATTTAGTGATAAGATAAAGTCTAACTACTTCTTCTTAGTCCAGTTTCATCTGCCTATAGCTGGCATGTACAGAAGCTTTGTGTATGTTGTCTCAGAGGTAAATTTCCACAGCTGACTTCTATGTAGACACCTCATTCAAGATGGCAGCGGCATATTCTGCGTACAGCGGCCACTCGGAGCACCTCAGTCTGAAGTGTGGCGTGAGCAGCATAGCCACACCTGAGCCACGAGAACTCACCCCTTCTCCCCACAACCCAGGAGAACCCTATAAGGCAGCCTCGCCCACTGCCTATTGAGAAGAGCTGTGCTCTATAATGCGAGTTCGTATCTCCCTATTCTTTCATTGAAGAATAAAGCTTTCTCATATGTATACATAGGGGCTTCCCAGGTGGCTCAGTGATAAAGAATCTAACCCAATGCACGAGACTCAAGAGACGTGGTTCAATTCTTCCATTGAAGATACCCTGGAAGAGGAAATGGCAACCTCTTCCAGTATTCCTGCCTGGAAAATCCCATTAACAGAGGAGCCCAGCAGGTTATAGTCCATGAGGTCACATAGAGTTGGACACAATTGAACACACACACACACACATATACATCTAGCTGATCCACTTCTTTGTACAGCAGAAACACAATATTGTAAAGCAATTATGTTCCAACAAAAAATAAATTAGTATGTAAAAATAGAAAAAAAAATAATAAAGCTTTCTTTTGCTACCAAACGGAACTCTCTCATTCTCTTGGCTCAAATAACACCAAGCAGGAGGACCCTTGTTGGGGAGTGACTCAAGAGGATTGGTAATCCTTTCAATAATTACTCATTAAGCCCATGCTGAGTACTGGATACAGTACTTTGCACATTTCCTCAGCAACCCTACACAAAGCCTTTCCCCACTGCTCACCAAAATGCCAAAAAAGACACAGAAAGAAGAAAGCAACCACCACACTGGTAATCAATACAGTAGCTGGCCTAACTCTGGTATGTGAGAAAGAGTAATGCTAATTTCAAAACAAGGAGAACTTGATAGAGGCATCTTCTCAGAGAAAAGCACATACACTTACCGCCTTCATTATGTGAAAAAGATGTTCTTAAAGAAAGGTGGGGGGAAAGCAATGAATAGTGCATTGCTTCTAAGGCCTGGATCCTAATATAGAACTTAACTGTTGTTCAGCTGCTAAGTAGTGTCTGACTCTTTGTAACCCAATGAACTGCAGCACACCAGGCTTCCCTGTCCTTCAGTGTTTCCCGGAGTTTGCTCAAGTTTATGTCCATTGAGTCGGTGATGCCATCCAACCATCTCATCCTCGGTGGCCCCCTTCTCCTGCCCTCAATTTTTCCCAGTATCAGGGTCTTTTCTAATGAGTCGATTCTTAGCACCAAGTGGCCAAGGTATTGGTGCTTCAGCTTCAGCATCAGTCCTTCCAATGAATATTCAGGGTTGATATCCTTTAGGATTGACTGCTTTGATCTCTTTGCTGTCAGGTGACCTGGGTTTGAGCCCTAGGTCAGGAAGATTCTCTGGAGAAGGGAATGGCTACCCACTCCAGTATTTTTGCCTGGAGAATTCCAAGTACAGAGGAGCTTTGTGGTTTTAAACATAGAATACAGTACATTTTTTGCACAAGTAATTACAATTCATGATAAAGAGTGTTTTCCTGTTCAATGTTACCATTATCTCCAAATAGGCTTGCTGCTTCTGCAGAGTTCATTTACCTGTGGGTTTAAAACATACAATTGAACAGGCTTTACTTCCTCGATTTTTATATTATACTGCTTACCTAATCCTGTGTAATAAAATGATAATAAATTCGACATATTGAAGCCAAATTTGCATAGATAATTGCCTCATTTATGCATTCCTTTTTTGGATAACAGCATTTCATGGCTGACTCACATCCAGTTTAAAGTATGCTAACATTCCCAGGGCTCAGTTTCTTTCCAATATTGCCATTAAATATTCTTCTTCTGTAACTGATTTTCACTGATTTTGCCAGTCCTAGGTTTTAAAAATAGTATATGAAGTGCAGAACAGTTGCACAGTCAATACAATTCAAATAAATTCAGTTTTTTTAAAAGAGAGAACACCTCAAAAATGCAAGTAAAAAAACAAATTTGCTCTGTTCTCAAGCAAATTCCACGTTAAAAAAATTATCCTGATGCATTTGAAACAAATTAACAACTCCCAAAGATGAGAGTTAACTGGCATAAAAATTACTTGAATTATTCCACCTGTAGAAAAGAAAATGCAAGAAAGACAATCACAGATTTAAGGCTTAAATGATTACTTTAAAATGTATACCAAATAGCAAACTTGTCCAAAATGTATGCTCATTTATAGATGAAGAAACAGAAGTGTAAAATAATCATTGATCAATATAGGTAGAATAGAAGTTTCTGAATTTAAGAGTCTTTTAAGTTTGTTTTGTACCCCAGCCAGTATTCCACTTCTCCATTTAAAAGGCATTGCCAAATAGTCAGAATGCAAAGAAAAGGGACATGAAGAAAGACCTCAAGCTAAAAATGACATAAAAACAAAACAGGAACATATAAATAAGTAGTTTAGGCATAGTCATGTTTGCAAGTAACAGTTTTGTGGAAGATAATGAAATATCATATGGGTATAAAGAACTAAATGTTCAATACTGATTCTCTAAAATAATGTTACGAAAAATGCTTATTTTGACAGCCCTGTGTCCTTTATTAAATACTATCTGCCATAGCCCAGATGTAAATCTGACCTAACTTTTGATACAAGATAGCCTATGAGAATGCTAGAAAAGCTAAATGTCAGGATTATGCAGAGCCAAAATTAGCTGAGCACGGATAAAAGTACAGAGAAGGTAATGGCAACACACTCCAGTGTTCTTGCCTGGAAAATCCCATGGACTGAGGAGCCTGGTGGGCTGCCGTCTATGGGGTCGCACAGAGTCGGACACGACTGAAGCGACTCAGCAGCAGCAGCAGCAGCAGGATAAAAGTATGGAAAGTTATACCCCAAATTACTAACAGTAGTTGCCCCTGCACAACGGAAATAGAGTTGAGGAAAGAGAATTATCACTTTTAAATTCATGTATTTTCCATTTAAATTTTTTGTTTAAATTGATAATAATGGTCATGTATTACTTTTATAATTTAAAAGGTACATTACTGAAATTTGTGACCAGGTGTCAAATAATGTTGCTTCTCAGTTGAAGCAGTTTTGACTTAGAGAAATAGCACTTACTGATGACCCACAAATTTCATTCCCTGAATCCTATCTCAACCTTTTCTCCCTCTAGCTGGACATACCAGTACCCCCTTAGAAAAGTCCCAGAACTATTGCCAGGTGAGCTATCATAAGATGTAAAAAAGGAGGAGTACAGTTAGGAGAAATTCTTTTAGACAATCCTTACATGCAGAAGAGTGAGTAAGAGAAGCAGTTATGAAGACAGTGAATGGACCCTGAATCCAGATTCCCAAACAGAACTTATTACTTAAATATTGTCCTGCATGCCCAAAATACTTCCTCGTTTGTTTGGGTTTTTTACACTTCAGTTATTACACCATAGAATTATACTACAGAATCCTCCCCCAAAAGATCTCCTCTGGCTTATATCTTTCCTTAAAACACAAATTCTTCTTGAAAGGGTAAATGTCTCTCCACTCTCCACACATTAGTACATGTTAGCTTAAACACATGTCCTCATGACATCCAGATGAAACTAGACTTCCTGATGAGACAAAAAGCATATGAGAGAAGGTAATTGACAATGGGAGATCTGAATGTTGAAGAGGACTTGGTACTACTGAAAGCATATATACCTAGGAATTATAAAAAGGACCTCAGAAACTTATTTTAAAAAATAGATGTGTCATAAATGAAGGTAGTGGATACCAAAAAAGCTGTGGACTGCTGAAAAAAGCACCCAGTGGAAAAAAAATGCTCTGTTTCCTTCCCTTTCTTCCCTTCTTTCCTCTCCTTCCTCCCCTTTTACTTCAAATACTAAAGTAAATATTGTACCATATGTGAGTTAGATACAATGGCCTAGATAAACTTCAGTTGAAGGTCCCTTTTCCATCTCAAGAACTCAAATACTCACCATCACTTCCCACAGCCTAAACACACAATCGTTTGCCCACTTCACAGGCAAGGGTTTGAGAAATAGCCCATTGAAGCCTGCCAGACAGAAATAGATTTTGTCAACGATATATCTGTGGACAGGATGTTTATGTCTCCCTCCCAAAATTCTTATGTGGAAGCCTAATCCCCAGTGTAATGGTATTTGGCGATAGGGCTTTTGGGAAGTGATTAGGTCATGAGGATGGAGCCCTCATGAAAGGAATAAGTGCCCTTATAAAAGGGACCACAGACAGCTTCCTAGCTCCCTCCCCCAGTGTGAGGTTACAGAGAGAAGCCGCCATCTATGAACCAGGAAGCAGGGCTTCACCAGACACCAAATATGCCAGTGCTTTGGTCTTGGACTTCCTGCCCCCCAGAACTGTTAAGAAATAAATTTCTGTTGTTAGAAGTCACCTTGCTGCTGCTGCTGCTGCTAAGTCTCTTCAATTGTGTCCGACTCTGTGAGACCCCATAGACGGCAGCCCACCAGGCTCCACCGACCCTAG